GAGATTATTCACCGTGTTACGCATCGGGGTTACTCTATCCATTATTGTATTGTATTATTATTGTACTATAGATGACTTGTGGAGGCAACTGTGTCTAAATTCGGCCACATTACGTTAGCGTGTATATAACTCTGGATTCTGTTTTATCCTTAATCCAAACGTATCAAAGGCAATAAATGATCTTAAAATATCTGTATTTTGTGGGTAACGTTGTGATCGGCCAGCGGTACTTATTGACACACCAAACAGCGTGCAAACAAGACGTCAGTAATCTTGAATCTATTTATACCCACGGACAAATAACTCATGAAAGTTCATGGTTTACGGAATGATGGAGCGCTTCCCAATAAAGTTTGTCTTCTTACCTAAGAACTTTATATTGACCTTCTGAGTCCAGGATAAACCAAAGTGAAATATGAATTCGATTAGCAAATGCACTGGAGATACTTGCGATTAAAAGAGATTCCTAGTAAACCGGAAGTGAAACAATGGTGCACTACATTAGTTTTGTTGATGGTTCAGATGGAATCTCATTGGTTACTTACAATAGACTATCAGAAAATCATTGGAACTATTGGAGAACCAAATTTTATGATTATATATAAGAATAGTCATAATCCTCTACAATTTGTAACAACTGTGTAGGCATACTTGTTTGATCACCAATTATGGCAATTTACAGCTATTCAGTAAAAACGAGAAATATAAAGATTTCGGGGCAGTTAAGTTCCTCAAGTGCGTAATGCTCTGCGGGAAATTCCGTTAGAAAAAGGTTTAACTTTCATCTTATGCGAGTGGTAAAATATAAATGCAATTTTCTCAGGAAGAAACTTCGTAATTAGCTCCTGGCATCTGCTTCTTCGAGAATGAAATTTACGAGAATTTCGAACAAAACCAATATCCAGCTGCTCCGAATTTGCAATGTCTTAAATCCTGATGACACTCAAAACTTTGATACTAAGATTTGATGTCAAAACTGAGCTTTTCCATCCGGTGGCATGAATCAAAGTCTGACAGAAAACGAATAGGCGCATGTGCCTCCTGAGATATCCGGAATACAAGCCGTTAGAGCAATTTAACCGGGGTAAATTTGAAACTGTTTTGTGATAATTGAAATCTTTTCTCCCACAAAATTAGTCTTACTTAAATTCAAGCGGAGTTCTGCTTCAAACTGTGGACTAGGGTTAATTACGTCGGGAAACGTGAAGGAAATTGACTGGGAGAATTTCTAATTTGAATAACCGAGCCGTGACCGAATCAGTTGAAAGACTCAAATAGACAAAGTGGCATTTATGCAAAAAAGAATCACGGGGTGCGCACATATGATCATCTATCAAAGAAGCGAAAGATGGCGTTAACGAATTTTCATTTTGGGATCAGTTTGGAAATTTTGGACGGTTGGCTCACGTTCATCAGACGAGTTGTTTTGAGTAGGTGGCGGCATGTTGCAGTTTGTTGGCTATTTTTTTAAATCTTCAATCGTCACGAAGTTGCCGGGTTCTTTTCGACAATTGTAGCCTTGCGATTCAGTCCATGTGACCCGCGTTTGAAGCAAATCAGAGAGCATCACCCTCAAACCATTCTCTTGCGCCTTTTTAGTAGACATCCATCTGTTCAATAAAGCATAGTAGCAGCTTAGAATTTAAAAACATATGTTTGGTGAGATATAACAAAACGGCAATATTAACACGTTGTGCCATCACTGTGATTAATAGTAAAGTTAAAACAACCACAAGGTTTTTAATCTTACTTTCACGTTTGAATTCAACAAGTATATCAGCTTATAAATAACACTTATAACATTAATGCAACAAATTAGGTATTATAGAGGAGAACTTTGTCAAAACCCATGAAAATAAATGTTAGTCTCTCCGATCCTACCTCAATTATCCATCACTTTGATGCTGCTAAATATCATTTCCACTGCTAACTTTTTGTCGTTAGTCTCTCAGGTTCTCTCGGTTGCCAAAAAGACAAATTGATTAGGTTTGAATCGACCATTGCATAATTCGTTATTAGTAGTCAAAACGTCAGCGGTCCAACATCGTAAATCTTCTCATTGGGATGCACACTACCGCGTGATAGTGTTTTTGAATGTGTCTACCTCCCGAGTGCGGACTTTCGCAACATTTGTCTGAGCCACACCCACCATTTCCAGAGCAACACATAGGTGGCACAATGTTTGGCAGCGTGTTTACATTTCATTACATATACTACCCGTAAATGACTGACACAGACGGATGGGGTTTGGAACGGACACGACCGGATAGATGAGAAAAAAAGTCGACCAAACGCAGCATTCGTCGTCCCGAGATCGATCACGTGATTTGATATTCTGCATGTCGCAGCTTTTCCCATTCAAGTATAATTTAACAGGAATGTCACAAATTGAGAAAAGCAACGAGTTTTAATTATCCGCTGTCTATCCCCAACATGCTGACTAGTTACCATAGGAATGTATGCGATTTGTTTCTTTGCAGAATGGGACGAAATTGTCACCGCGATTGAACAAGAATTCACAAACAGATCGGAGGCAATCTGATGTATAAATACCGTGAAAGAATAATTGATGGCGACATCTCAGCCACAGGTTTACTTCCATTACCAACCAAAATTGTCACTTAGTTTTGCTCGATGAACCTATGCACTGGTATGAAATTTTCGTTGTTGGGAGCTTCAGAAACTTTACATTCATCGAAGAAGACTGCTTTACGGGTCTGAGAGATAGCATTCGTACATGATAAATTTCTTAATCCAATTGGTAGAAAATTCCCATTCAAACGTGAATGGGACGGTTGATATGTACTAATGATGAACTATAAGGAGAATTAAACTATAGTTTTGTGCTCCCCGCGTGTATGGTTGAATAGGTGCAGAGAGGATTGCACGTGAGGATGAACATTAAAGGATGATCAGTCCAGATGAGCTGGGACTTTCACTTTTTGTTCTATGAATTTACGGTCAGTTTGGACTTATTGATAATTGATCAAAATTATTTTTTTCCCGTACCATACAAATAAATCAAGGCATTTATACTGAACTATCTTGCAATGAATTATGGAATAGACGATATAGTTTCCATTTGTTACAGAAGTCCTTCGGTTTCACGGGCCACAATATCTTATATTATTAATTCTAACTTGGTAGCTTTAATCAACGAAACCTCACATTAGATTTACTGTACACAAGAATGATGTACGATTGATCGAAACCATCAATTTGGATGCTGGCTCCATAATTTTTTCAACTAACCAGCTAAACAAGATGCGGGAAAAGTTCAAGGGGAATATGTGATCAACAAGAAATTCAGTTAAATCTGACCTAACGACAAATGCAAGGATTTTTCACAATGTTTATCTCCATTTTTAAACAAAATGAAAGCTAAATGCAAATAATAAAGGTTCATGTTAGGTATTATATTTATATATTATACATATCTCAACGTTTCATGCGACAGTCCTGTGTATCTTAAAAATTCTCTTTCTCTCGCTTGGACTTTTACAAGCTCCACTTGAGAGTATAAAGTTTAAATCCCATGATTTGAAGCACAGCTTGCAAAGAGGTGCGCAGTATATCGGGGTTTTGTCAGCTACGTGGATATGGGTTCAGAGTCTATTAATAGTCCATTTATTAATCAGGTTGCATCCATTTGGCCGAACAAACTCCGTGTAGTTCACTAAAAAATGATGGACTAAGACAAAATCGCTCCAATGCTGCACGAAAAAAGCATGCGAATGGTAACAAACAAAAAATACTTCGGATTTGAACTTAGATAACTAGACGATTTTGGAAAACATTGCCTGTTCATTTATTGCACCAGTAGGAATATAAACTCGTCCCATGATGCTTTTGTGAGTTGCTTTGTCCTTTTGCAGAAGAAGGGATTTACTATGATAAAGCGTTACGGTTATTGACGAGGTAACAGTATACAAGTAGATGTATTCACTGTTCACTTGGATGCATCATATCTTATCACGAGAGATTGTGTGATTCTGGGACCCGCAGTTATCAGTTAGGTGTGAACGGACTGGAAGACGCAGTGATCAAACAGTTTTAGGTCACCTTCACATTGATCGCTGCTGTGGAACTGTTAAAAACAAATTTCACAAATTTCCAGCGAACAATACAAAGCAGAAATTTTGTTAGTGGCTTATTTCATGGGTTATTCTCCAATATTAAAAATAAAAGATAAGATAATGCTAAGAATATTCTCTTCATCTTTACATCTAAAATTGACGATCACTTGTATTAGCACGAAGAGTAGAGGAGAAAAATTACCTGAAAATAGATGAAGAGTTCGAGACAAAGTGTTTTTTAGAAAAAGTGTTATTGTTTGTTGATAAGACGAGGATGGGTGAAGAAACAAGATTTATGCATTAAAAAGGAAGACAATGATGAAATTGAAGACGTGATAATTTGTCGTTTGGGTGTTTAGTATGTATCGTAACACTTGACGATTGCGCATGGCCAAATTATGCAAGAGCTGAATAAATATCACCATACGTTTCATAACAAACGATAATTCAGCTGCATTCTCTAACTCAGAGTTCGTAAACGACGTTCCACTTCGTTGGGCATCAACTATGAAAAGAATTAATCTGAACTAATCTTAGCAGTGTAGATTCTATGCTTGATCACGGTCAGATGAGGTAATCAGTATTCACGTCGGTGCTCAAGTGATCAAAACAAATGAACTTGTGCGTTCACTGATTTCGAGGCGCTATTGGAAGACAGAAACAGCAATGATCAAATATCGTCCCGAAACAGTTATGGAACTTGACTCCTAAGATCCCATGACTAGGGTTGGCAAACCTTTCCTATGGAAGCAATATGATAATCATTTTTGGCCTTTTTTAATTTAGGTACGGAATTGGTTCAAGCTTATCTAATTATCATTCCGATAAACTGTTTTCCCGCATCGATCTCACTGTAAAACCCTTATCTGTCTTCCATCACTCTTCACAGACTATCAATACGAAGATTTTATCGGGAACCCGAAAATGCTCCCGTTTCGGCAAAGGGCCGCGTGGTTGCATATCGATTTGCCCGGTCAGGGAGATGGGGAGGAAGAGTTGCCAGCCAAGTAAGTCCATTAATTTGGCAATCTGCAAGCAGTTACACATGGCCAGACCGAATGGTGATATGTTTGCGTGTTTTGAGGTCATATTTTCTCGCTTCATTTTAATGGCACAGTAAATGTCTACTTCGAATAAGCGCATGAGGTTATCTGCATGTGTGCGTGTGTGTTTGTAAGAGCAAAGTGGCTAAAACTATTTGGTTAGGTGCATTGACACGCTAGGGCTGTAATATGTATTTGCACCCTTACAGTTATTAGGTAGTCAACTTTTGCGTGTGTTTCACACAAGTCGAACAGTTGTTTACCTTGTTATAATTTCAGAAGGCGGTGCTGGTCAAGGATAATCATTTATTGACGATTTCACATGGGGCATCACCAATTTGGTATACATGACTCAAAATTCTAATCAGAAACGTACCATCGCAGTTCCTGACCACACGACATGTAAAGAAGTTAAAATTCGATAGTTCTTCTTTGAGACCCGGAAAATTGCCCTCAGTGGTCTTGTTGATTTTTGGTCGTTGAAAGTAATCACCAACTATGTTACCTACTACTCACAAGTGAATAGTATCTCACAACAATCTGAATAACATGAATCCGATAAAAAATCTTTCTAACCCGGTTTAAGCGATTTCAGTGAGGTTATGAAATTTGTAACACTAAACATCTGAACCGCCATTAAATTCTATTGCACTCGTTTTACCGATCGTACCAGCCTTGTAGAGACTTAGCCTTTACGCTCAAACCGAATTAACGTAAGTTTCATATTCGTGTTGCTCATATTTTGCATGACGATCATAATATTGGTGAATAAAATTGATGAAAGTTTCCTTAGATTTGCGCTGCAACCTCAGCGATCGCTGGAGGTTTTGTAAAGAAAGACCGATTGTCTGACTAGTCCCAAAGGGCACATTTCGAACAAAAACGGAGTGTGATGAACAAATCCAGTTCATCACATGAGATATCACTAATAAGGAATAAATTTATCTTAGCTATTGATTTTTGTGATGCGTTAGTACTATTAAGGATAATTGAAAATGGTTGTTTTGCGCTCTAGGATTTTTTTAACACATGAAATACTTCTTCAAAGGTAAGTGAGTGAACTTTAGACAATGTTTTAGAAACATGAGTACAGGTTGAAAACTTCAAAAATGGTACTAGTGACGAAATTTAGGTTCATTTAAAAGTGGGTCGTTATGGCAGCTGGTGCAGCAAAAGAGCTAAGTATGCACTATTGAAAGTCCTTAGTTGTATTCAGTCATGTGTAGTGGTGTGCTAATGATGTTAAAAATGCAAACAGCCGATGCAAGCTATTTGCAAATAAAAAGGTGAAAATCGGCTAATTCTATATCCTTTTTGTCCGTCAACGATTTTCACTAACCGCTGTCAGTTTTGCTTATGAGATATAAAGCATCCCTCCACCTACTGGAAGATCAAATGTCACGGTTGTGAGGATTTATTTCGTTTTATATGCGATTTGGTTCGGTTAATATATGATTTGTCAGCGTGACATCTTCGAAACTTTGTACTGATTATTTTCAGCTGTGGAATATTAGAAATCATCAGCGAAACTAAGCTATGATATCCAATTGGGTTCTAACTGGTTCAGCAAGAGCTGGGAATGAAATGTAACCCTCTGTTTTCAGATGTGGGTTTCACTTCAATATTATTAATATTATCATTATTAATATGATTAGTAGTAATATGGTTCTTTTGCTGTTTATAGGATTCAGATGTCATCATTGGTTAGTGATTACTCATCTGAACTCTTATTTATTATTCAGAGAGAAACACTTGATACTTCCACATGTCAAAGGTATAGCTGTGACGAAAATCGATCTGCACCAAACCTTACAAACAAGCTTTTTGGTCATTTGCGTTGATGAGTAACACTTAGTGAGTTGTGTACACGGAGAATCAAACCTTTTATTTTCATGGTCTTGTTAGCTCATTGGTACCTTCCTTCAAACATTCGAACAGAAAAACAAAGGTTGAGACGACATAAGCACACGGAATTAACTTCAAACTATGAAAGTTTCCAAATTTGTCTTTTGTTCAAATGCACAATCATACATTTTCTGACTACGGCTGAGCGCCTATGAAGGCAAAACAACCAGAGCCAGAGATGAAGTATCAAACGTACATATATGCACACGTACGTGAGAAATGAGGGTAACGAAAAAAGGAGATTGAAAAGAGGATTTGTGGGAGGTAGAAAGAGATAAATAGATAAATATCTAATCCTCAGAATAATGTGGAGAAGAAATATCAATGAATAGTCTGTTTTAAATTCTTTTTTTGGATTACTTGGTAAAATCTCCGTTTTATGCCATAGTTCAATCCATAAATCATCCGGTCTGCACTGCACTTGTGCAATCAACAAAAAACGATCAACATCAGATTGCTGTTTACAGTGGCACAAATTCCTGAGTAACGAGAATGTGATATAGTCATTGAGATAACTTCTCAGCAAAAAGGATGGGCTTTCAAGCTACGAGAAAAATTCGAGAAAAATGTACAAGAAGAGTCTTATTAACTATAATAATTTTCAACGTGCTCAGAAATTTATCCACTAATAAAATCAACGTAAATGTATAATAAGTTCCCCTTTTATTTGTATTTGGCATACCATGTAATGTTTTTTTGTGCATTCCAGCAGCACTGTTTGCACACTAGCACTGGAACAAATAAACTCGTCAGGCAGTTTAAATTGATGATCTAAATGCCGGTCATTTGGTCATTGTGTGCCGCATTTAGTTTACTCGCATTCTGCATCTTTCTATAGTTAGTATTGGGTTTTACCGTTACCCCGTTCCCTATTGGTCGATTAAACGGATCACCGGATGATAGTAACGCAAATCAAAGTGAAAATATAAATGGTTAATGGGTGCAGAAACGGAAGCTAATGTTATTTATGTACTACTAAAATGTCTATCTCCGTGCACCTGCTTCATGTAGTACAACAGGAATCGTGTGAAGAACATAACAATGGAATATTTTGGGACTCTAAAGCTAATAATTAACTATTTCACTAGGCTTTTACAGCCATGAACATCTGCTAAAAATTCTTGTTTCCCGGGGTTGAAACACCCTGCAGCTGGTGAATGGATATTCTTGATGATTGAAAGAATGCTGAATGTATTCCTCGCACGGTGATTTCAAGACTTTTCAATGGTTCTTGAACTATGAACTCTGCCTGATAAACCATCGACTCAGTTGCCACAAGTCCATTTCGTCTTCGATAAAGACGGCGACAACATCCACGACGATGACGACGGCGACGAAGACCACGACCACTACTACTATGACCAGAAACAACAACACCGCCAGAACCACCATCATCATCACAGCTTCCGATGGTACTACGAAAACCGCTGGTCTCCTCTTCAACCAGCCGTTGTATATTCAAAAATAATCCAAAGAAACAAAATTCTTTACAATTGCCTATTCAGTTGAGTTAGTTTGATGCAGTTATTTCCGACATGTGCAGGAAAACACATAAGTTTCTTTGTCTCCTTTTGTCTTTTTCTTCACATCATTTCATATCACCAACCTCCTGGAAGTAAAACTTGGAAATTATAATCGGGTCTAATCGGGAATATCTGTATTCGTAATTATCCAACAGTAGACCACAGGTTTGGTCTCCTTCAGTACACATTTTTCAAATTTGTTGATCTGGAGACAGGGAAACAGAGAGAGAGCCCGTGGCAATCAGTAAACCGTTAACATGTCTTTTTCGGTTTAATTTTACAAGGAATGGTGCGCACAGGTTGATCAATATATTGCAAAATGTTTCACAGAAGTAACCGATATTGTTGGAACAAAAGTGTCATTTGAACACGGTTTTGACTTTACTCCTACTTCTATAGTACAATGCGTGAATTTTATGTCTGAATCCCTCACCATTTTACAGCGCCTGTGTTCGGCTTGAATTTATCTTATGTCCAGACGATTGAATTATTTTAACTTTGAAGTCCATTACTTGACGATGACTGAACGCCTCCAGTTATTGAGCCTGGTTGTGTAATGTAGTGAGAAACCTGGATTCTGTTGGAAAGTGACAATTTGTTCTCACGATTTGACACTGAATATGTTTCCCAGCCTAGCTACAAAACGTTGGCGAACAACGCTTCCAGCCCGGAGGACACACCACCACCAATATCTGCATCCAAAGCTACAATAACTGCACACTATTTTCAGTATAGTTGTCTTTTGTGCACAAGTGGTTTTTATCGCTGTGATTCAATACTTTTCTTTAACTTTCCTTTTCTTCTCTATCCGCTAAATCTCTTTGGTTCAGGCAATCACATGAATTGGTGGATTCGGATGCAAAATCAGCATAGCCTATCAAATTTGACACTATTATTGCTTTTAGTATTTGCTCCGGTTCGCATTTTTTTATGGTTCTTCCTTCCAAATACCATGGTCAGTTAATTGTGCCCACCAAACACTGACATGAGTGTCACTCCTTTGAGGGCTCACTAGTGACGTAATCCAAACGGCCCGTTCGGAGTTTGAAACACAGAGTTCTTTTAGGGAAGACATATATGTTACCCATGCGCCATCCAACAGTAACCAGAATCATTTTCAGATACCATCCGTACTGATCTTTTTATTACACACCCAAGTGTGATGAATAGAAGACGGGGAGAACCCTATAGCCACGAGAACCTGCTGTTTAGTGGTGGATTACCGGTATAACTCGATTAGACAGGCTGTACTATTCCGTAATTCATCAACAGTCTACGAGATTTAATCAGCACAAATATATGTTGAAGAAAGGCGAGAAACAAGAAAGGAGGGGGAAGAAGCAAGTGGCAAATTGGTTTTTGTGGATGGATTCACACTGTGATGGATTCGAGGTTCGCTACGCGAATAAATAAATGCAATAAAGATTGGAACTACGAAAAGTCAACTAATGATTAAATTAGGTCCTATCAGTTATGCTGCATAATAAAAGATACACTATTTTCATCTAAACGAGCCATAGAAACATAGTTAACTAT